GCTGCTCAGCTGGGTTTTTGATGACATGGCTGACATTTTGAATGAATGAATGAATAAATCTTTATTGTCCACTGAGATGGAAATTTTTCTTTGGCTCACCAAGACATACAATACAAATGAACATTCAAACAACATCAAGCAGAGTAAAGGAAATTAAAAAGAAGAAAAAAAAAAGAAAACGATATAAAATATCATAAAATAAATGTACTTTAAATACATCATTTTGCACCATAAATCCCCAGTGTTTTGACACAGTAAATAAAGACAGTAATCTGCTTTGCTCATACAAGGAGCTATAGGAAAGCTGCCCTCTGGAGGATTTAAGGCAGTGGTCTGAGATTAGTGAATGTAAATAATTGCTACACTATCTTACTTACTTACTTAATGACTTATGCAAACAAGTAAACTTGATATTATTATTATGTATATATATGTACTATTGTCTCTTCGTGCCACATGATCAACATCACCGTTGGTGAAGAAAAAATGATTTTAAAATATTTTGTGAGGTTTATTTATTTCAAATGCGTATTTAATTATCATCAGATTTGATTCAATAATCAAAAAATCACTTCTATAAAGTTTGCTGGACTTGTCCAAGAACGGATTTGAAAAAAGATTGGTCAAAAATGAACATCCTGACTTTAATTCCTTATATGGATCTCCAAAAATACTACACTTCTCATTATGCTACTAGGTAGGCTTTCATTATATATTTCATTAACCTTGAAGACATAATCAGGACTATTTCTATTAGCCTAACCATTGAAAAGCTCCCTCCAGAGCCACATAAGAAATAGTACTCCACTGAACTTCTTGTGTAAAATGTATTTAATATTTTAGAAAAATTCTTCTTAAATCAATTCATAAATAATGCATGATTCTAACCTTAAATAGAGGTACAATAAATGTATCACTTAAAATGTATTTGAGCTCATATTGCTAATGCATTTTTAATGTGTTGGCTTTATAAGCATCCACTTGTCAGATTAACTGAAACACACAAACGAGTAGAGTTGTATCTAATTGATGATGAACATACATGTGTTTGTATAATTATTTAAATATTTTGTATTTATTATTGAGTAGTTGTTATTTCAGTAACAGCCGCACGGTGGTAGCAAAGATGCAGACGTCATATAACGAGGTGCTGTGTCGGGTGAATGACGAGGAAAGCGTTTGTCCTCTGTTCCAACCAGTTATTAAAGTTTTAGCGAAGAAACACTGTGAACCAAAATGTATGTTTATGGTTCAGTTAACGTCTTAGCTAAAAACAAAACAAAAATAAACAAATTCAAAGGTTAAAAAGTTCTTGACGTGACCTGTCAAAAGTACAGAGGAGGGAGAAAGTTAGTGCCTCCGCGGTGACACCTCGAGAATGAAAAGCAGTTCATTGATGTTGGGCTACCCAGACGCACGGGGCGAGTGGGAGGGTCTGCCGTTGTGCCACACCACTTTACGCTCTGAAGCTGTAGCACTGAGGAGGGTATCATTACAAGTGTGGATTACCCAGGTGACTGGACCGATGAGATGATACTGAAACACAACAGGAGTCCTCTTCTCTTCACCCTCACCTGCATGTACTTCTCAGGAGGTTTGCTTTGGTCCTACCAAGAAGAGGATGCCAGTAACGGGTAATTTGTAGGACAATGTTAAATGACACGATGACTCCCTGCGTGAGACGTGAGATAAATATGCTTACTCAAACTATTTTCTTTCACAGTGGAGAGTGCTCTGAAAATAAAATTTCTACAACAAAGTACCCCTGTGTGAAGTCGACTGGGGAAGTTACGACATGTTACAGGTACAGTTGAATGATTAATGTGGTTGGCAGTCCAGTGCGTTGTGTGTCTACGAAAGTGATTGTAAAATGTAGCTAGCTCCAAATGGTATAAAATTAGACTTGGCATTTATTTTTCAAAGCAGTAATGTTGTTTGAATGGTGCTTGGTTGAAATGTTAGTGGAATGGAAAATAGTTTATAATAGCACTGAAAGATAAATGTAAGTGAAAATCACAAAATCTTACTTACTTACTAAAACCTTTTTTTTTCTTTTTTTTTTTTTTTCCCCATGCATGTTATTTAATTATTATTTTTATAGTTAGAGTTGTAAGATGTCTGCTTCCTGGCAAGGCTGCAGTTTATCATAACGGATATTACAAAACATCATAAGCCTCTTTATCATCATCTGTGAACTTAAAGGTGCAATGTGTAAGATATGGCCAGAATTTTTGTTTAAAATATTCAAAAAATTAACTAACATTATTGACACAATGTGAAGAAGTAATCGTTCTGACATTGTATCATAGACGTCTATGTATTGCAGATCTAAAGTTGTATGACTGTGATTCATGTGGTGGCTTAAACAAAAAAAATGGGTCTATTTTGCTAACCTGAATATTTTGTTTTATTTCAGGGGCCCCGAGTTATTGATAAAAATGAAATCCACATTTGCTGGAGTTGGGTGGCTTGAATTTTTTTCAACTTCTAAAGAGGGGGCTTACCAGAAAAAGTTTGAGAACCACTGATGCGTTGTGTTGCAGAAATATCTACTGAAGTTAGCATGCCCATGTTGTCTCCTCCAAACCACTTTGCCTGAGAGTTGAGAGTCCGATACAGAAAAATTCAGCCATACACCTTGTGATTCAAGTTTCTCTCTTTCAGTGAACTAAATACCTTATTAAGTCATCCTAAAACACATTTTATTCACTGCTAAGTTAGATGCACAGCTAATGATCTAACAGCAGTTAGCAGCAGTTATGAGCGGATATGCTGCCCTCTATTTTTTATGTATGAATTCAACAGGTGGAGAGTCATCTTAGTTCTCACACATTGTACCTTTTAAGAGAACATATCTAAATATCCACATGCCTCCAGATTGGCCTGTTATGCTCTGACACTGTTAGAGGCTATGGATTAGGTTGTTAGAACCTAATCTATTCAAATATCCACTGCGCTATTCCTTTAAGGCCAGTTTATTAATTTTGGTGAAAAGTGCATGCTTTACACATTAGAAGTCTTTGACAAACAGAATAGATATAATTTACAGCAACAAAGTTTGACAAAGAGCTTAAAAAAGAACTAGACATGTGCTAGTCTACAACACCCCCACACTCCCATTATTCTATAATGGACAGCTGATAAATGCTCAAACCACTTTTGCAGGAATGCAATGCTGTTTTTCGAGGCACATTGTGATTCAGGCTGATGAGATGGGTGTATTGTTGCTTTGGAAACAAATCATGCAACTTCAGGGAACTTATTTCAATCATTTTGTCAATGATCTTGATTCATAGCAAATCTATTTCTGTATCTTCTTTTTCTGGGAAAGCATATCGAGAACCAAAGAAATGCCAAATTGCGGAATATCTCCTCTGAGAAGTCTTCCAAATGTAGACTTTGCAAGGTTTCATCTCTGCATCACTTGACAAACTGCTGGCCATGAATCAAACGCAGAGTGACATCCTGTTTGATCTTCAAATCTCAAACACATTCTTAACATAATTATGTTGGTTTATGGTTATTGGCTGCGGCCAGAGTTGTTTCCCACGATGTTTATTTAAAGAAGAAAAACTGTTTCAGCTAAGAGCCAAGATGTGTCCTGGGGGCATTTCAGTTCACCTGCATGGTGTGAGCTGATGACTGCCCATCAGCTCTGTAATGGTTACGTGAGAAGTTTTATTGTAGTGCCAAAGATTCCGATTAATGATCTGAATGTGATAAGATGAATGTGGCATTTGTAAACTGTATTTTTATTTCAAATTGCAGTCATAAACCTGTGCAATTGTGCATTTTCATGACTGAGATGTAGTTCAAAAGCAATAAGGTATGATTGAAGTTGGCAAGATTCAGCATTAAGGAAAATATAGGCTTACAGAATTCATTTGGCGCTCTATAGAGTATCAGTGTCTGCAAATCTCAGAACATTATTTTGAACGCTGTCAGAACTGTACACATAGGAGTGCTATAGCAGTTTGAAGCTATACCATGGGAACCCCATAACCCAAAGATCCCACATTTTACTTATACATAGTTTTCTTTTTGGACAGTTGTAAGGATGTGTAAAATCTCACTGAACAGTTAATGCATGCGATCATCACCCTGGATTTTGTTTTTTAAAATCGTATTATTCTTATATGTTAATTTGGTTAATTTAACAATTCAGTTTTTACCATCTAACAATAGAAATCAAAATACTGTACATTACAAATAAATAATTATGAATGTGAAGACAAATAGCATTTATTTAGTTTAGCTTTTTAAAGGAATACTACCGCATTTTTGGAAATAAGCTTATTTGCTTTCTTGCCAGGAGTTAGATCAGAAGCTAGATGTCAAACATATTAAAAGCATTGGAATTCATGTCCATTCCAATGTGTGCACAGTTTAATACTCATCTTTGGAGCATTTATCATATTGTGAAACAGCACCAGGGGAGACAGCAGAGACCAAGAGAGCATATGTCACAGTACAAGAGAAGTACCAGGGCCTCAGTTGACTCTGACCAAATCTGTCTCACTGTCAGTGCAGGCACATTCTTCTCTCACTGTCTCTCTGGGTTATTTTATAAGGAGATTTGGGTTCCTTAATTTGTGTTTACGCTATACTGTCTCACAGTTCAGAATTTTCAGGCTTTATAATATATGCTTATATTTCTATTTTTATAGGCTGTGAAGTTAAATATGCCTGGCTTATAAGAAAGGTTGTGCAGGGGTTTTTGTTCCAGAAGATGCACTTAAATTGTGAAAAGCCTGTGACTGAAACATAAATGCTTTACTAAAAACCAATGGAGGGTTTGATTATACTCATAAGGTGTGAGCTGTTCCAATTTGGCAATACCTTTAGTGCTAAGCGGTCACAGCTGCTGTGTTTTTGCAGTATACCTCCTAGTGATCAGTTTGTAGTCAGTATTGGCAGCATTATGGCTTATATTTGCAAGGTGTTTTGTTTTTGTTGCGATTGATGGCTATCTTTTTTTTTTCTTTGTTCGGCCACTCCTCTTTATCCTCATCGTGTTTTTTTTTTCCCAAACCACACGTGCTGCTATTGAAAACTTAAACCCATCAGTTTCTGTGTCCAGAGTATTTGCTTTCTGTGGCTTATGTGACAAAGCACGAATAGTGACAAATACACTGAGTATAACCCAGAAGAGGATTTTTATTTCCATTTTGCAGATTTTAGGGGTTTCCAGAATTTACTCAGCAGTTATCCAGCTAACTTTGTAATCCTGCTTTGTAATACAGACCCCCTAGGGAGAATATTCCTGACAGCGCCTGTTAGCAAATAGCAAATCTTTGAGCTTTCTTGAACTACTTTAGGCTAAATCACTTTATCAGTTGGCAGTAGATAATGACAGAACAGCTATTTATTTGAGGATGTAGGGTTTTTGTACTAAAGATGAATTATTTTGTTGTTTTAATGTAGACTTTCTTTTTAGCTGCTTAAAATTAAGTATCATACGACATGTCTGGAAATCCAAGATGAGAGCCAGATCCAATGTGTTAACCATCTTAGGATCAAGACGCATTAATAATCTTTGTTTATAACTTTTCTTAGGTGACAAGAGGGAACATGAAAAAGCGATTACATCGGCTTGATTTATTATATATAGGATGTCAGCCTTACCTACTCTGTAAAGAAAATGCTTCTCTGGAAAAGAAGCAGAACACAATCTTTCTACTCTACAGCTGCAACAGTTACACATAATTGATGTGTGGCATGTGTAATTGTTGCTTTGTTATTATTCCAAATAATTCTGGCGGTACTAAGCATTTTGTTGCATTCTCCCCCTCCTCTCCTCTGATCCCTGCTCCTCTCCTCAGGAATTTAGGGGGAAACTCTGGTTTACGCAGTAAGGAAACTGAGGATAACATTTCTTCAGCCCCCTTGTGATACATGATAGCCATGATACTTCTCATGCACTTGGCTGGTCCAAACAGCATTGTTTATGTCCCGTAAATGTCCCCATCACCTAATTCCAGAGAAATGCATTGGCATTTTTTCAGAGGTATTCCTTCTTCTCTCATTTTACTCGCTCCTTTCATGCCTTGTATTCTAGTGAATCAAAAGGCCCAGAAATGTGTCAGAAATAATTAGATTGATTTTCCATTGACTGCAAAATGAGTAATTGATTTATATTGTGATTCACAGATTTAAACACAGCTTGGGGGGGAAGTGCAGCTCAGTTCCAGAGAAATGATCACTTCAGTTTGATAATTTAGCTTGGCTACAAGGCAAGAAGTCTCTCTTGTTTCCTTAGTTTTTAAAATCTGTTTTTTACATTACATTGAAATATATTCTGCACCTTGGAATAACCCTCTCTGCTGGACTTTGGTTCCATTTCTAAATTCAAATAGCTTTCAACGCAAGAAATACACTTGGGGTTTCTTTGTTGCCATATTGTCATCTCTCCAGTGATCGTAGCCCCATGAAGAATATATTGTGCCACAGCTTAAAGAGTTCAGCAGGCCCCAGTTAGTTATGGACTACTACATTTCTGATACTATAAATGTTCTTCAGGAGAATTCCTTGGTGGAAAGCCACCATGTCCTAAATGAATGTCAACTTAGCCATGGGCTCGTATCCACTTTTGTAAAGTAGTAATTTTATATGTTGGAGTCCTTTTTAAATAGATGTCAAACTTACATGTTCCTACATTGTTGAAGATTTTAGCTCATACTGAAGTTCTAGGTGAAATTACACATGTACAATTATCTCAACACAGTTTAATTAGTCATTAAGCACACAGTGATTATTCTAGGATGAGAGAATAAAAACCCTCTGCAGGGAAACTGAACTACACAT